GGCGAACTGGATCAGATACATGCAATGCTCGTTTTCTGCGCGGTACCGAGTTTCTCTGTAATCCACTGTTTGATAGCCTGGGACCATGCAGACCTGCAATCAACATTTTACTCAGGGCATCTAAAATTCTTAATATGGCTCTGATGAAAATTTTAGATGGAATTTTTAACATAGATTCTTTTTTTCCAGAGGACACCTTTAAATAAGGCTGCTTATAAGCAAATTCATTGACAATCTGTTCCTTTTTCTCTTCTGAATCTTTTCCTCAGAATATGCTTTCAGCCATTAAAGTGTCCAATTCAAAGAAAATGGGTCCAGACATCAAAATTACTCATAGTCCACCTGAAAAACCCTGGAACTCCAGACTACTGAACTACATAGATTTTCATTTCACCTTGAAGGAAAAAAAAAGGATCTAATTCAGAAAAAGATGCTCTATTTCCATTTTTTCATTTATGCAAACTATGCCCTGAATAAATAAATCTACATAATCTCACCTCCCTGCTAGACAACTTACAGTAACATTTGCCAAGAGAAAGACAGGCTTTTCTGATACTAATGCAAAAAACATGCTGAATAAAAAAATTAAAACAAATCATATTGAGTAAATAGCTGCTGTGCAGCTCTGGAAAGAATAATAAAGGGACTGATGAGTTACTCAGGATTGTCTTGTTCAATTATTTCAAACATGCTACCCGTTAAGGATATGTTTAAGCAAAGGTTTTAATAGAAACAAGCACAGTCATATCCTGAACCATTGAAATCTATGGGAACTTTTTCTTTTAATTTCCATGGAACTGGAGTTTAGACCTCCCTGCTGAAGCACCCGGGAATGTCAGGCTATTGGTCCTGGGAGACCCATCGATTCAGCCCATAGCTAAATTTTTGTGCAGGGGCTGCACCTGGAGGAAAGCAGCTCTCTTACTCCATTTTGGGAAAGTAGGAAGTGCTTTTCCCAACTTGTGAGGAAAAATTCCTTGTCCTTTGTGTCCTTAGTAGATATGAAATAAAGTCTTAGTGACCACCCAGGTTGCCAGTAGCCCTGGGACAGCAACAGGGGAAGGATAAAACAAAAATCAGTGGCTGCAAGTTGCGAGTAGATCTTATTAGCAGCCTTTTCCCACTCTGATTGCACGAGGTAGATGCTGAAGGACAACATTTTCTCTTGACAGGCCACCTAGAAATCATCAAACTCCAATTGTAGCTGGGGTTTGGGCACTCTTCTGCAACCTTTTAAATATCTTTTCACACTGGAAGGACTATTCTCGACTGCTGAATCCTTATGCTCCTTTCTGTAAAGAATTAAGAGACATTAGTGGGGCTAGGTCCCCCCAAAGACTTGCGTATTATAAGATGCATCACCTGGCTTTTAGGTGCTGTGATGCTTTGTAGAATTCAAAGATGGTTTGTTTTAGCGGTGAAATGTGCAAATGTTCCTTACATGCTTCCTGGGGACAGTAAGCCATGGGATATACAAAGCTTGAGTAGGAAGCTGCCTAAAAGTGCCAGTAAGAAATGTTAAGAAAATATGATTTTAGACTCTGTGTCTGCTAAGAATTCGCAGCCACAAGATTGGCACTAAAGTCAGTGTCTTCTAGCAGCTATCTATGGGAGGATGCGTTCTCTCTACTTGTTTACTGTGTAGTCTGGTGGTTAAGAGCATACCTCTGGGACAGGGGATGTCACCCACATGAACCAGGTCCCAGGAGACAGTCTACTTGGTCTATTTGGTATTGCATACTGAGTTAATCTTCCAGCTGAATCTGTTCTACTTTCGATAAAAGTAACTGAACGTATTTTGGAAGAGAGAAAAAGATTGACCCCCACGTAACCAGCAAACGTCTTGGTGGTTGTGGCACTCGGTTTTGACATGAGGTCAAATTCTGTCCAAATTGGACAAAGTGGAGATTTGAAAACAAGTCTGCCACAGATGTTCTCTTCATGAGGTACCTTTTCTTGCAAGGTATAGCAGGCTGGCTCAGAGAAGGCATTGCAGATGAGGTCCTTCAGGCAACCTAGCATGGGTATATCTCAATGAGAGAAACACGCCACGGCATGGTAGATACCTATGCCCTTGGGGACCTTACTAGCAAAGAGTTAGAGAGTTTGGGGAATTACAGTGATCCAGTCATTCATCTGGAAGAAAGACTAGGTAAGTTAATGTAAATTCCAGGCTTCAAAAACCTGTGCAATTGGCTTTAAATGGATTTAAAGTTTTTATTTTTAAATTCATTATTTTAAAGCAATCTTACAAGTTAAATAGATACATTTGAAATTCTTTTTGTTCATATTTTCAAGCTCTTGTTTTCAATTACTTGGGCTAGAAACTTATCTTATCCTTTTTAAACAAGAGCTAAGCTCCTCATTTAATCACAGAACTCCAGAAACCACAGCTTTAAAAGAATCTCGAAGTATCTTGAGATTTATAACAAAAGCAGGAGAGTTTGACAATATAGACTTCGGTGACCACGTAAGATTAAATTTGGCTTACTGACGATACGGGTATGCTCAGCTCCATAGATGGCAAATACAAAGGAGAATCTACTACCCAGATCTGAGACAGACTGCGGTCAGTCCCTATATAAATAAGACACTGTTTCAGGAGTCCTTGATTTTTCTTGTTTCCTTGTGCAGCGGCTGGCCACATCCCCTAGGGAAGTACAGATTCTTCTCTCTGCTGGCACTTGAAGATCTGGAAGGAAAGGGCTGCTGTATCTTTTCTCCATACCAGATATGTAGGTAAAAGCACCAAAAAAAATCAGGCTGCTTCTTGCCCTGAAGCTATTTGAAGCTACTTATCCATAGGAGTTCTGAAGTCACATTTTTCTTAGGTAATCTAGGTGCAGTTCAGCATCTTGATATTCCCCAATGTGCTGCAAAATCCATAATTTAGGTCTGGGTAATGCAAAACCAAGAGGATTTGAATTTGTGCCTTAGTAACAGAATGATCACAGATCTTTGCTAGCTTTTGATATGACAGACCCCTATCCATTTTATGCCTTTTTCTTCTACTCTTTGGTTAGGATAGGATAGGATATGGGCAGGATATCTATTATTCCAGAATGCCTGGCTTGCTAAAAATCACAGTCAATTTATAACTAGATTCCACATATGGATTTATTAAGCTGGTGTTTTCATAATTTTTGAAATCATTGGTGTCAGTCGGTCCTTCCATCACATAAAAATAAAATGTGACCATTCAATTAGACCTTTCATCTGGCAGAAAGACTCATTTCCCACCTTGCCTTAACTGTGGCCACATGCCAGAACATGCTCACACGAGGTCGAAACTGAACTGTATATAAATTCCCACACCGGTTTTTTGTTCATTGTTCCCCTGACTTTAAATCTAGGACACAGTATAACCCAGCTGTGCAAGTCATTGTCTCATGAATCAAACTCTCACAGAGCAAGCAAAAATCCTCCAACTAACTGGCAGTACTGTGACAGGGTGATTGCCTAGAGAGCAGGCAGTGGAGGCACCGCGTGCACCAGCTTGTTCAGGCTAGCAAGCACTGAACTTTGCCTTTGTTTGAATCCACAACTGAATCTAGAATTAAGCCAAATGAACGTACGTCAGAATATTTCATAAATGCGGCATTTCTATTTTTCATGTCACATCTGAATCTTGTTGAATAGTGTAGCTATAATCTCCCCTTCAAACTGTTTCCTTGTTTCTCTTGGTGAACAAAGAATTTAAAAGATAGTAATTACATTTAGGTTTTGAAACAATATATTAAAATGCCAGAAGGGGAAAAAAAAACCGATTAGAGATTAAAAGCACAGAAGGCTGCTACTTGATAAGCTTTGCCTGAAAATAAATCACTAATGAAAGAACATAAAGAAAACATATGTGGTCACTATAGGAGGTGGCACATATAGTTTCGCCTAATACTGTAGTAGACAGATTTATTTTACCCACAGTATTGAAAACGCATTTGACATTTTTCACACAAAATCTCTTTTTTCAGTCGCAGTCAGTGCTGTGCCTCAGCAGACTCCTGAGGAACCCAGGTTCATTTTAAAGCGATAAATCTCCCTCCCGGCCGACAGCTGTCGTGGGGAGGGAGCTCACCAAATCCACGCTGTTTGGCAACGGGAGAATTCATTTGTGGAAAGTGAGAGTGATAGAGACACACATATACGTGTGCGTGTGTGTATATGTAATATATGACATTATATATAAAAAAGTATATAATTTGTGTATGTGTACATATGTATATATATATATATATATAC